TATATATAACTCTGTTTTTATTCGTATTAATTTGTCCTAGATTCATAATTTTTAAGACTCATAATTTTTGCTTTAAAATTAAAAACATTTGCTTATCTCTTATTTTTAGAAGGTTTGTTGCATACTGATGACGTTGTTAAGCTGGTATTCAATGAGGTGGGTTTGGTGAAGCAAACTGGCCCACTGAAATGGATTTTTGATGAACTGAAGCAGTTGCAAGAAATAAAATTCCGTTTTAAGGTATGTTATCTTATTTCTGTGCACTTTTAATATCTATTTAAATTACCTGAATTACAATTTCTGTTCATTTAAACATTTGGAACATATTTCAAACCAGCATTAATATTTATCTTGTTTGCAAATATTCCAAAAGATTGTTATAGGATAAAGAAAAAAAAGTTATAGGATAAAGAAAACCCATTGAATTACGTTACGCATATTTCCTCAGAATTGCAACGGATACCGTTCGAAGATGTAATTTGCGCGGATTATAAGATGGACCTGTACAAACCAGGTATTTCGGTTATTAAATATTTTCAAAGATATGTAATTAAATTTTACTTAAAAATGGGAGAAAAAGCGAAAATTAGCAATGTTTTGTTTAAATTTTTTTATATGTAAATTAATTTATTCTTGAAAGTGTTTCAGATTTGATAAAAGAATTAATCGAACAAATCAGACCTGAAAATATGTTTTATGCAGTGATTTCACAACAATACGCTGGCAAGAAGGGTAATGTAAAAGAAAAATGGTACGGGACAGAGTATAGTAGTACAAAAATTGACAAGGTTTGCCGCAGCTTATTTATAAAAATAGCCTTCTTTTACTATGATATTTAAAATTTTGTAATTAAGGAAATAATTTTTAATCTTTAGAGGAAGCTTTGATATATCGAAGTAAAATGAAAGTTTAATTAATCGATGAAATTTATTGTTTGTGTAACGACTATGCTTGGATAGTTTTTTGAGATATACAAATTTATTGCAGGAGGTTTTATCGAAATTCAATGATGCACTAGTTCAGATACCAGATTTTTTGAGCTTGCCAGCCAAAAATGACTACATTGCAACCAAGTTTGATCTGAAACCACGAGAAGAAACCAAGTGAGAAAATAAACATAGCAGTTATTTTAATATATAATCCGGATTTTTCTTTTATACGCCAAATTCAATTTGGTAGCTAAGAAAAGAAAAAAAAAAGATATGCGCTTCGTTTATCTTTGCTTTAATTAAACATTCGTTTTAGTTCCACTAGAAGATATTACATTGCTTTTCCTTTTCCTTTGCAACATTATTGTTGAATTTAATATGGTTTTCAAGCAGGAACTTTTTTTCCAAGAATATATTTTGTATTTTTTCTAAGAATTTCACCTCAAAATTTTATTCTTTAAACTTGTTATCTTGAGAAAAATACCATATCTTGTCGCGAATAACGATTGGTGTCGGTTATGGTTTATGCAAGATAATGATTTCAAGCTGCCAAAGTTAAGTACACGAATAGCTTTCAAATCACCGATGATGCAGTCAGATCCACTTAATGCTTATCTTTCTGCAATGTTCGTCATCTGCTTACAGGTAATTTTATTATTATGAATTTATTAAGTGAAAAGCAGTGAAATATTTTTGCTTTCATCAATAATGAAATTTTTGTTGTGTTGGTAAAATTTCATATTTGTGTTTTTTTAAAGCTTTCTGATTATACTTCATTGAAGACTACTTTTCAGAATTATCATCATGCAAGAAATTATATGAATTTAAAGAAAATTCATAGATTGTATGTGAATTCATTTTCAGGATGCTATTAGTGAAGAAACTTATAACGCACATCTTGCTGGGCTGAAATCAGTGTTCGATTTGCAATCCTATGGCATTACTTTACATGTATCAGGTTATGATGAAAAGCAACCGAGATATATCAATGATTTAATTCAGCGCTTTATCACTTTTGTGCCAGGTAATAAAGGACGAGAATTGACATAGTACATAATCTCCTATGGCATGCAGGAGCTCTATCTTTTTTCATTGGTGACTCCTCTCATAGTTGGTGTTTTTCTTTCTCATTTGTATAGCAATTTTGAAGAAAATAGTTTTTGATCTAAATACTACCAAATCTGAAGTGGATATTCACTAAAAGGTCGAGCAAGATAAGATTAAAAATCGAAGTTCTCAGTTTCAAATATTCTTATTATTGCTTTAATTTAAATATGCTGTGAAACAGCTATCGGGATATTTTAAAAATTCTACGAATAGTTATTTTTCTTCTCTTACCCGTGAAATTCAGATGAGGAACGGTACAAAGTATTGAAAGAAACGTTTTGCCGAAATTTGCGAAATTTTCGTCAAAGTCAACCATATATGCAATCTCATTATTATACTACGTTATTACTTGGTAACCGACAATGGAGCAAAGAGGAAATATTGGCTTGCGCTGAAAGTTAGTGCTCTTTTATCACTAATATTTTTGTTTTGAATTGGAGATCAAATCATACATTATAAGATGTAAGATAAAAAAAAGTTGTCTTATTACAGATTGTGGAGTTGAAAAGTTACAAAAATTTGCACGTGAATCATTACAAGCTTTGCAGATTGAAGCACTCATTTATGGTAATAGCACAGAAAAAGTAAGTTTTTTGTTCTGTGAATTTTTTTTCAAAAACTATGATCATTCTCTATCTCTTCCCAACGCTTGTTTTGGATATCATTCGAAAAATATGAGAACTAATTTTTAGGAGTCTGCCAAAATTCTCCATGAAGTTGTGTCGAAGTTTAAAGAACTTCCAGATACGCGACATCTCTTTGCTAGCGAATTGGATCAGTGTAGAGAGTATGAAATTCCAAAAGGTAAAATTTGTAATCATTTAACTGAGTTATGCCATGCTGGTATTTGTTTTTTTATCTTGACATCAAAACTCATGAATTCTCTGGCATATTAAATTATATTGCACAATATTCTATAAATTACATATCACCGTATTTTTCACTTTACTGGAAAATTCAAATTGAAACGAAAGAGCATGTAAAATTTTTTTCATTTTAGGATGTCAATACGTATACAAAGCATTTCAACCAACGCATCCAAATGCATCCATCAATTATGTTATGCAAACAGGTCAACAAGATACCCGAGAAAATGTTTTGCTGGAATTAGTTGTGCAGCTGGCTGCTGAACCTGCTTTCAATCAGCTTAGGACTACGGAACAATTAGGTAAGTAGAAATACGAGTTTTTTCATTTATTCAACAGGATGTTCAGCTCCAAGTCCTCATGTGTGATCGTATTTAGCTATCAGTTGTGAAACGAAATGATTCTTTCAAATTTCAGAAAATTGAAATGTGCATAATCATAATTTCAAAAATTTCAGGTTATATTGTTCACACGGGAGCTAGGCGAAATAATGGTGTTCAAGGAATTGAATTACTAATTCAGGGACAACATATTCCGGAACATATGGAGGAAAGGATCGAAAATTTCCTCGTGAAATTCAGGGCAAAAATTTATACTATTTTGTTACATAAATGCTTTTTTGATTTTGTTTCCCATAAAATATAAATGTTACCTCCAAATATGATTTGTTTTTGCAGTCTGATCTCGAAAAAATGTCCGATGATGAATTTTTGGACAACGTTGAAGCACTTGCAACCAAACGTCTCGAAAAGCCAAAGACAATGAAAGCTCAAGCGAGCCGTTATTGGGCTGAAGTTGATAATGGATTTTATTTGTTTGAAAGAAGTAATTTATTTAATTCACAATTTCCTATTTCCATTGCAATAAATTCAAGAATTTTATTGTTAAAGTTTACTGATTAATACTATTCAGAGGCAGCACTACGAACAGTATTTATTAGTTATTAATTTCTTGAGCTATTGTTTTTCAAAATATTTAAAAGAAATAAACGAACCATGACGAACTACTTATCCAATGTCTGTCTTATCAGCATGGCATGAAATCAATTTCAGATGATATTGAGGTGCCCATACTACGAAAGCTAACTAAAGCAGATGTTATTGAATATTTTGACAAACATTTTGCGGTAAATTCTTCGGAAAGACGAAAACTTTGCACAATGGTTTACGCTAATACCGAAACTGATGAAACAGTTTCGAAACGCGAATGTGATGCTTTTGGTGATGCAATACAGGTAAGCCTTATTTCTTTACATAAAAACCAAAACATATAAGACATTCGTTATATTAATGCAAAGAAATATTTTATCCTAATTTATTATTGATGCTTTTATTTCTCTTCAACTCCTCTTGATATTTCTTGGATCATAAATGTGTTGCTTATATCCAGAATTAATTTGTTTTTGCAGTCTCCTGAGCGGATAAATGATATAAGATTATTCAAATCTCGGTTATCACTTTATCCATTACCGCAACCAGCAATCGATATTAATACACATGTTTCGGGGCAAGAAAAATGCGGTCAATAGATAATGATATCTAAATCGATCTTCATTCTTGTTTTGTTTTCTAATAGAAACTGTTGCGAATTTTAATTTCTGATGGCCAAAAAAATTTTGCGCTTCTTCTGTTTCCATTATTTTTCTTACATGTGCTATTTTTCAAACAATGAAATTTCAAGAGTTTTCAAAACTTTTTTCAGTTTTTTTTTTACTCAGTTTTCTTTGTTCATTAGATTTCCTATTGCACTTTGTTTACTCATTTTTTCTGTTACATGAAAATTTTTTTAAATGATATTCCCATTTTTTTAAATTTTGAGTTCGTTATCATTATTACTCACATTTAAAGATTATTTCAATTTTTCACATGTTGATGTATTATGTTGAAAAGTTTTATGTATTATCAAAATTATTTGATCATTGAGCATAGCACATATTGATTTGATCGCATATCGAAATAATCGTTCATGGACATTTCTGATGATAACAGTGATAAAAAGCAAGTTGTAGTGGCACACTCAAACTTTTAGAGATTGAAATTGTGATTTAAATTGTTCCACTTGGCATTACTTTCTTAGATTTCTTGAATTTTTTGCAGAACTTGAAGATTGCCATGTTTTCATAATGTCAAGTATTTATCTCTCTTTACATCTCTCTAAAGTGAAATGGAACATATCATAAAATTATCAAAAATGATTATATTTATAAATATTTTGATGTTTTGTTGTTTGTTTACATTGCAAAATTTGTTTTGAAATAAAGGATATATTTATCCAACAACAATCTATCATACATACACAGATATAGTGATTAATTGGCTAACTAGGTTGAAGGAGATAGCAAACAAACGAGAGATTTTAAACTTCTGTCTTAAATTGGAATAATAGCTTGCAGGAAGAAAATTTAACAAAACACGATGGTATGGCTGAAAATTTCTTCGTAGGCTTTTTAAAATTTAAAAATATTCCTTTTTTTTTTTGTAGATTATCATTATCAATGATCAAATTATATTTACCGTTTTAATTCATTACTTTTCTTATATTAGCTGATTTCTTTTATAAATTACTCTTATTAATTAATGAAAAAAAGAGGAGAGAAATCTATGGTTTCGCAATTTTATGAAAATTCTCTTCATTATTTTACTCGTCTTCATTAAGCAATCAGTTGTATTATTCTTATGTGTTCCATTCAATCAAATTATTAAGTTTAATTTATAGATGCATTAGACTATTTGGTTCAATTTTTGGTATTGATTCTTCCGGATTTGACATTTCAGTTGGTGATGTAGCAGTACTGTATCCTGTTATAGATAATGGTTGCATTACAGTAGCTGGTGCTAATTTACGTCGGAATGAAGCACGTATACGTGTTTTACTACGTCTCAAGGAACGACGTGCATGTATAGCATTTCGCATAATAATTGGCCGATTTGCATCCATTTTAGATATTTCAGCACATTGCTCGAAAAATTCTAAAAAACACTTTCAAAGTATATATGTTCAATATAAATACTTATTTATGAAATAATTCATTCAAAAATTTATGAAATAATTGATTCAAAATAATTAATGCCTTTAATATATTCTAATCTTACGGTTTGAATTATCAATGTTAAATTTTTTGAGCTTAACATATACATTAAAATAAAAAAAATAAAAAAAAAAAGAAAAAGCTAATGTAGTTAAGATGAAATTTAATCAATTTTCAGTAAACATTTAATTTGAAAAATTAAAATTTTTCATATTTATTTTTAATTTTCTACAATTTCACCTCGTAATTTATGAACATCAGGCATGATATGTTCTTGTAATTCACTCATTTGTGCTCCAGTTAATTTCAATGCTGTTTCTAAATGTTCCAAGGCTTTTTCCGCAGCCTGAAGTTGTTTTTCGGCTCCTATTCGTGCCATTACTTCATCTTTCAATTCAGCTTCTGTTATATCGCGTTGCTCGCTTACCTCCTGAAATTTTTTCTTTTTTAAAATTTATACTTTTTTTTAATTGCTTAATAAAATTAAAAATAAAATGCCAAAGAATTGTACAAAAAGAAAATATATTTTTAA